CATAAATAGTTGTATCTTTTTTGTGATTGAAAATAAAGTAACATAAGTAATATAAAAACATAAAGTAATATAAAAACAATTTTTCCAAAAAGCTTTAATAGAATTAGTTGCTATTTTTTGGCCAATTAAAACAATAAAAAATCACCAATATAACTGTAAAAAAATAGACATGTCAATCTATTTAGCCTAAATTGAATATATAATATATCATGCATCAATATTGAATTTAACATATATGATATAAAACTATAATTCCATAAATAGTAGTATCTTTTTTGTGGCTAAAGTCAGATGACAAAATACAAAGTAGTATAAAAACAATTTTCACAAAAAGTTTTGCTAGTATAAGCTGCAATTTATTAACCAATATTCTTGTTTATTAGATGAAAAGTTTAAAACAATCAAAAAACACCAACATAACTGTAAGAAAATAGACATGTCAATCTATTTAGTTCATATCGAATATATTATATATCATGTATTAATATTGAATTTAACATATATGATACAAAACTATAATTCTGCCAAACATAAATAGTAGTATCTTTTCTGTAGCTAAAGTCTGGTGACAAAATATAAAGTAGTATAAAAACATTTTTCACAAAAAGCTTTACTAGTATAAGCTGCGATTTATTAGCCAATAATCTTGTTTATTAGATAAAGAGTTTAAGACAACAAAAACACCAATATAAGTGTAAGAAAATAGACATGTCAATCTATTTAGCCCATATCGAATATATAATATATCATGTATTAATATTGAATTTAACATATCTGATATAAAACTATAATTCAACCAAACATAAATAGTAGTATCTTTTCTGTGGCTAAAGTCTGGTGACAAAATATAAAGTAGTATAAAAGCAATTTTCACAAAAAGCTTTACTGGTATAAGCTGCTATTTATCAGCCAATAATCTTGTTTATTACTTAAAAAGTCTAAAACAATAAAAAAAATCACCATTATAACTGTAAGAAAATAGAAATGTCAATTTATTTTATTAATCCAACTCCATATACTATCAATCCTTTTTATAAACTATACTAGATTTTACGGCGTATGAAATATACAACGTAAACCATATTTAATCTGATATCGATATATCTATTTTTGACAACCGGTAGAATAGCGCTTAGCAAGTTTTATTGCTTTCGGAATTTTTAAGAAAAATTGCATGAAGGCTAGGCTCTGAATTCTGTATCACCTAGAATGAAACTAATGTTTTATTCATAGCACGGAATAGCCTATCTTTTCAATTTCTTTTTGGCAACATTTTAGTCGTTCCTAAGGTTTCTCTAAAGGGTTCAACAACATTACAGAAGCCAAAGCATCTACTGTCGTCAATAGCATAGGTTTTAAAAGAACTTTTTAAGTTTTATTGTAAATGTAATTTATCATAAAGTTAGTTCCTGTTTTGTTTTATGAAATTTTTATCAATTGAGATCTTTACTGCATAACAATTTTTACCAAATGGCTAATACATTACTTTTGTAAACGTTTTTATGGCATAAAATAAAGGTTGGTTCCAAAAATGAATTTATTTTCTGCAACTTCGCATAAAAACTAGGCGTTTGGAACTGTATAATATCATATGAGTAATAAATTATTATAATTATTTAATGATTGAAGAATCATTAAATAGTAATTACGCGAAAAGGGGAATGATTACAAAATGAAATTTGTGAGAAAAAAAATTTAAGCTGATTATAATAATAATAATCAAAGCTATGGTGACAATAATGATAATTGAAATATTGATAATAAAAGTTAATTTGATGATAGTAATGATACTAATCACCTTTTCGAAATTTCGAACTTATACCAAATAATTGTTAGAAATTTAAGAAATAAATTCATGACAACAAAATGAAACTTATAAACATAAAGCGACAACTTCGCATAAAAACTAGACATTTGCAAGTGTATAATATCAGTTGCGCAATATATGATAATAATTATTTAATGATGGAATAATAATTACGCAAAAAAGTTAATGATTACAAAGGAAAATTTGCAAAAAAATATTTAAGCTGATGATAATAATAATGATCCAAGCTATGGTGACAATAATGACAATTAATGTATTGATAATAATAATAAAAATTATTTTTATGATAGTAATGATACTAATCACCCATTCCAAAATTTCGAACTTTCATCAAATAATTGTAAGAAATTTAAGAAATAAATTACTGATAGCAAAATGATTCTTATAAAAAAATAAAGCTGATAATACTACTAATAATAATAATCAAAGCTATGATGATAAAAACGATAAGTAAAGAGTTTATAATAATAATAAAAATTATCTTAATGATAGTAATGATACTTATCACCTATTCAAAATTTTGTCCTTTTATCAAATAATTGTTAGAAATTTAGAAGAAAAAATTATGCAACTAATAGAATGGTTACAAGCTTTGTTATGTAATAATTCAATTTTCTGTTTAATTTATTTTTCAAGCATTTGTATTCATGAAATAGAATTTCAATGTTACTTTTTGAAAACATTGATGAGATAACACGTAAGCAAATGAATGTTTTTAAAAATTACTACCCAAACTGCACATAATTGTTCTCGATTTAGTAAGTAAATAATTAATGAAAAGAGGTACATTATTTAGTTCTAGTTTTTGTTCAGTTTAAGTTTCAGAACTAACAATTACATACTTTCTTTGACTTTATAGTTTAATTATCTATCTATCTTCTAGCAAAAACTCTATTGCAAAAGTGAAATAATAACTTCATTTCAAGAAAAAATTTGCACTGACATTTCAATTTATGTTCGTCGCAAACTGTTTAGCTTACATATTCTTTAAAATGAAAAAGAGCATGTTACCAACTCTTAAGTCTATAGATATAAGGTTATTTTAAAATGAATGAAAATATATGTATATTATATGTACTTGAGAGATTTCAGGCGTAAATATATTGGAAATAAATAAATATTAAATAAATAGATATGCAATGTTTTGCATCAATGAATATTTTCTCAGTATTACTTCTTTGGTAAAGCCGATGGTTTTGCAAGTCACCGAACATTTCAAATTCTGAAACTTTTTTATGCACATTTATTAAAAAATAGCTCATATTATAATATACCTCTCAGAACAGAGAACTACATATCTTTTTAAAGAATCCGCATGTTTTTCAATCAATATGTTTCTCAACCAACAAAAACTTAGTACTGACTTAATAATCAATAATGTATTTATTTTTTATATACTTTTTTAGATCGTTAAGTTTAAAAAACATTTAAAAAGTACTTCTAAACCCATTTAGCAAGGTAGTATACAAAAAATTTTACTTACTTATTGTACACTAGGAAAAACGGAATATTTTATACTTTCATTTTAATTCCTTTTCATTTTTACTTAAATTCGAAATAGAAAAAATCGTTTAAGAATAGATACCAATACTGAAACACGAAATCAATACTGAAGTACAGAATAATTCAATACAAAATCAAAAAATCAAAAATTGAACTTTTCGAAATTCAAGAGGTACATCTTTCGATGCTACCAAGTATCCAAGTTGTTTCTTCGTATCTTGAAAACTAACTCTTAAAGTTTTAAAATATATGCGCCGTTAAGCCTAAGATATACATTTTAACATATTTACTGAAAACTTCTAAAAATTATAACATCTGAAATCGAATAAATATTTTTACTTCGTTCGAGATGCTTGATATCAAGTACCAAACAAAATCCGATTCTACAAATGTTTTCGAGTATTTCATTGATTTTTGCATTACATGGAATACTGTTCTTTCGCTAACTTCAGTTTATCTTTTTTTTCGTAAATTTCCAATACTTCCTTTTGATGTTTTCTAAAATCACTAAAAGTCTTTTCATAATTTTTCTAAAATCACTTAAGTTCGTTTTTAGTAAGTTCCTGCATTTTTGATGTTTTTCTTTCGTTATATAATTTAATAAAAGTATTTTCGAATTTGGTAGAACAAATTATAATTAAAAAAGTGGATCTGTTCTGCTTGTGAAATGTAACTTACTTTTTTTCATACTCCTTGATAAATTTTTTAATATCATAATCTTACCATTCTATTTGAAACATTTTAAATCATAAAATATCGTATAGAATATATGCTAAGACAGAAATTAGTTAAAAATGTATTTAATCATTTAAAACTATAAGTTTTGAATTTTTTTTATTACATTTCACAAAGGTTTAGCATCACAAGAAGCATATTCTAGCATGTTTTCAAGTAAGTTTTCATATTTTCCAATAAGTTTATTATTCCAATAAGTTTTCCATTTTCTTTAAGGATTGAAACACGGTGACATTTTGTTGAATGCTTAAAACTCCATATATCAATCTGATATCTATTATATAGATATACCTATTTATTCATATACGGAGGAAAAATTCTAGTAAAATTACCGTATTGTTTGGAAATGATATTACTGGTAAAAGAAACGAAAAAAAAAATAATACAGAGTAAACACTGATTCAATCCAGTTTTAAGTTGCTCCTGGACCCAAGTCGAAATTCCTGATGGTCCTACCAAAACATTGTGATGGTTTATGTTGGCTTCAGTCCGATTCATGATGATCCAACATCATTTGATGGTTACCATCATCCAACATTTTCCATCATGGTTTTGTTCATGGCTTTTGATCATGGTTTTTGATCATGGATCACGTTCATGGTTTTTGATATGCCATCAAACTTCCATCATTCCATGATGAAAAATGCTACTTTGATACTATAATGGCTAATCATCAAGAGAGGTTTGATCCATGATGGTCCATAAGGGTTCGACCCAAGTCGAAATTCCTGATGGTCCTACCAAAACATTGTGATGGTTTGCGTTGGCTTCAGTCCGATTCATGATGGTCCAACATCATTTGATGGTTACCATCATCCAACATTTTCCATCATGGTTTTGTTCATGGTTTTGGATCATGGATCACGTTCATGGTTTTTGATATGCCATCAAACTTCCATCATTCCATGATGAAAAATGCTACTTTAATACTATAATGGCTAATCATCAAGAGAGGTTTGATCCATGATTGTCCATAAGGGTTCCAGCTATACAGTTCCAATAGGATTTTATTCTTGTTGGTTCTCAGGAATATAACATCAAAACAATTTGGCTTCTTTTACAATGGCCCATCATAAATGAGTCCGAATTCCTATATTGGGATGATGGTTGTTTATTATCGTTCCAACATTTGATTTCTAAGAAACTATGATGGAAATTCCTGATGGTTTAACATGAACAGACCATCAAAACAAGTTGTTATTCTTACGTTAGATCATCAAAAATCCGTCCGTATTCCTACATTGGGGTGATGGCTGCTTATGTTGGTTACCATTGAAAATATAATGGTTCATGATGGAATTATTGATGGTTACCATCAAGATTATGTTGGTTCATCAATGGAGAACCATCATAAATTTTTACTTGGGAACTTACTTTGATTGAACATTTTGAGTTACTTTCGCCTTTATTAGTGGATTTTTTTAGAACATTTTTTAAAAAACAAATAGTGATATCTTTTTTCTGCATGGTGCAAATATGCGCTTCATTTAAGAAAACCTTTTTTTAAGTTCCTTCGTAAAATAAGAAACAGTGCTATAATAATATTTCATCATTCTGACATAAAGAAACCCTATGTAGTCTAAGGATCATTGATGCAGTGTCCCCTTGGATATTGACACTTGCATTTGCAACCGTATGTTTCGTAGCACATAGTGTTCAATAGCATAGCTTTCTATCACGCTTAAAGTTTATATAGCGTGAATGTAAAACTTTGCGTACATCGAAATTTAACGGTCCGTTAAAGTATCAGTTTGGGAATTCCGATGATTTTGAAGCATCAAGTTAGCTTTTATTTTCAGCAGGAAAACTGTAGATATTGTAAATAAATGTTTGAAATGTGCTACTAATACTACTTTTGTGAAAACCAAGACAAATTTTAGATTAGCGCTTCCGACCTATATTGATTCATTTACCCGTTTATTATTGTTACATTCTGAAAAAATTCCGATAAAATTACCGTACTGTATGGTAATGATAATTCTGGTAAAAAAAATGTATGTATATAATTCTGGTTAATAAAGCCGAATTATACGGTATTTAAATCATTCATTCGTTAATTTTACAGTTGGTAACGGTTTATTAGAAATTTTGGTTTTTCAAAATTATGGTTTTTATAAACCCACACTTAGTAAAAAATACAAATCTGAAAAGTTAATTTAAGCCATGCTCTAATGCAGTGGTTAATGAAATAGTGTTCCGAAAAATCCTAGGGTTCCGTAGAAGAAATAAAAGAGTTCCGTGAGTTGGAACTTTTATAACCAATTAGTGATGAGTTTTGAAACTTCTGGTTATATTTAAATACAACCAATAATTCATAATTTATTTAATCTTTTGATTGCCTTTATGAAATTATTTCAAATGAAATGTCAATTAAATAGAAATAAGAGAATATAATATTTCTAATAATAATATACTAAATAAATTATGAAAAGAATTTATGAAATATTGCATTAATATTCCCTATCGCGTTTTTCAAAATGCTATTTTTACAATAGTACTCAATATTACTATAATTGCAATAGTACAATATTGCATTATAACTCAATCTAAGCCACTTTGAATTTCAGCTTCAGAAGTTGTCTTTGTTGTTGTCGGCCATTAAGGAGGAGGGGGTGTGATTGTCCCTGTTTTCCAGTGGCGCTCTCGATGGTCAAGAATTCGACTTCAGCTTCATATTAAACGAATATTTAAACCTTATTTTAGAGAGCATAAATGGGCCAAAAACAATAATTAAAGGGGGTTTTAAACTGCGAAGAGACTTATTCTCGTAATCTTCATTTTTGAATCTTATTTTTGATTTTTAAATAACATATTTTTCTCAACTGAACATACTATAAATTGTTTTAAATTCAAACAAACATACATTATTTTTCAGATTGTACAGGCGGATGTCCAATTCCACATTATTTTACATTCCAAGTCATATATCCTCTCATCTTAAGGTATGTTTTTATTCAATATAATGCTGTAGTATTATGAAAGATAACTTATTAGTAGAACTTATTAGTGGAATTAGATTAGTAGGGTGATAACTTATTAGAGATAACTTACATTATGAGATAGTCTATGAGAGATAAACTTGAATTATTGAAATCTATCATTTTTAATTATTTTTATTTATTGATAAAAAAATAAACATTTGATCAGTCCTCTTCTGAGAATAAAAAAAATAATATTTTGTACATTTGTAACGCACTATGAGCGAATAAAAATTCAAGAAAAAAAACTAGTTTAGGCAATTTTAAGCATTAAATATCACTCAAATTATTATTTCTAATTTAATTTGAAAGTTTCTGTCATATTTAATGATGATGATTTTAGTTTGCTTCATAATTTCACCATTACTTTATTAATTTAATTATTGTTACTTAAACAAATTTTCAAGAATTCAACTCATTTTATAATCCTGTGTAAGAAAGAAATTTTTCTGTGTAAAATTTTTAATCAATCAATTGTTTAAGAGAATAATATTGAAACCGCTAAACATTCATACTTACAGCATTGTCAATTAAACAGTAGGAATCAAAAAAATAATTCTGAAAAATTGTAAGCATTGCGTGTAGTTTAAGATTTTTCAGTATTATAGTGCCGAATTATTACTATGCAAAAATCATTTTTAAATGTTTTAATATTCCTTAAAAAAATTATAAAATGTAAGTATATAATTTTTTTAATAATTAATATAGAACCGTGGTGACTCAGGGGATTGAACGTTCGCCTTCGAATGAGGTGAACCGGGTTCGAATCCCAGAAATGGCTGATCGTTGCGAATTCCGCCCCCGGCTAGCACCAACAACAGTGCTGACGTAAAATTATCCTCAGTGGTAAACGGATCATGGGTTAGAGTCCTTTTGCCGTCAGGCTAACCGTGGGAGGTTCTCGTGGTATTCCTCTTCATTTAACGCAAATGCGGGTTAAATCCATCAAAAAGTCCTTAACGAAGGCAGATTTCTCCCAATACTTGATCCAGGAGTTCCCTTGTCTTCCGGATTGGGTTCAAAATTACAAGACTACGTAGTTGATCATTGGTAGTCGCAACCCCAAAAATTGGGGCGGCTGTTCAACGACGGTTATAAAATAAAAAAATTTATATAACTGAAAGTGTTATGATTTAATCTGCACAAATCTTCTTAATAAAATACCGATATTTTAGATATTTATTAACCGATATTTTCACTAGTAGTAAACAAAAGAACTTCTAAATTTCGAAATATAAAAGGTTTATTCATTTTGGATATTTATTTTTTTTTCAAACTTAAAATCTTTAGGAATAATCCTCTTGATTTCATAAAAGTCAAAAAAAAGTTTCCAAGAAACATGCTTTTTTTTATTTATTTTCAACATTACTGTTAATATTTGAAACCATAAAAAAGTAACAAATTTAAAACTGCATATTTCATTACCATTTATAAACTGCATATTTCATGTATATATCATTTTATTACTTTCTGTTACAATTAATGCAACAAAATATATTTTTTAATTGTCTGAAAACGAATAAAGGTAATATAACTAAAATATATGAATTAAAAATTTAGGCATTTATCATTTAAACATTGTTTTTGAGTTTAAAAAAAACTTACAAGTTATCAATGAGAAAATGAGTCTTTAAATTTTAAGCATTGCTTGAAACTGATTAAAGATAAAAAGAAATTAAGAGCTATCTCACGTAATAAAATAGATGATGTTTATAAGAAGGTCACTAGTATTTTTTTCTCGAAATTATCTACAAATTTCACATTTTTCAAGATTATGTGTCCCAGAAAGTGGATAATTAATATAATTGATATAATGATTTAAATAATTATTGATATAACTTTTATTAAATTTACTTTCCCTTTCTAGGGTCTTGATTCTGGTACTCTCAGCAAAAAGGTACGTATGCTTTATACTTCTAAAGACAGTTCATAAAAAATCTGTTTCATTTAAAAGCATGTTTTACAAGAAACATATATTGTAGAAACCATTATTCTGAATAGTTAACTATCTTTGCACCTCAAATATCGGATTTCTCAAATCTTGAACTCACAACATTTTAATTAATGTTTGTTTCGTGCAAATTTACTGAGAATTTTAAATCAGGCCAATTTTTCACGGACGTGGAAATTTATGGGAGTACTCGTTATTTAATTTAATGGGATTTATATATTCCTCGCATATGCTAAAAGAAAAGTTCTGTAAGTAAAACATTTCAGAAGTCATTCAAAGAAATTCCGAACAAAATTTCGGTAAAAAGTACTGGCATCCTGAGTGCTGTATCCGTAAAATACATTTTTACCGTGAAATTTAGTCCAGTAATTTTTACAGTAATATTTATTTAACTACAATTATTCAATGGATTTACAGAAAATATTACTGTAAAAGTTATAGTTTATCAGATTTCTTATTCCTTGAAATTTTATGATAAAATGGATTTTGCTGTGAAAAATCTGTGGCACCTGAGTACTTTTCAACGCCATTTTAACCGGAATTTTTAACAGTGTAGTCATCATTTTAGGATATATCTTAGATATCTTTATCTTTATGATATATCGTCAGGATTATCTTTTTACGATGCATCTTTAGAATATATCTAAAGAAATTTCAATGATGAGTAACTGTTTCTTTTAGATATAAATAACTGCAAATAAGTGCAAATTTGAAAAAATTAGTGTTTGGAAGATTTTACCTTTAACGCAGAAAAAGACATCCACGTTTCATGTGGTATTTCATAACCATGAATTAATAAAATGCTAAACATAATATTTTTCACTTATTTTGACCTAAATAAGTGAAAAGGGCTGAGCTCTACAAATGAAAGAATTGTTTAACACGTTCAAATTTTTTAGCGTATTATACAGCTTGTCCTAAATTAGATTGACGGTTTTCAAAAGTGAATAATAAGTAAACAGTTGGGGTTAAAAAAAATCTTGCAGCAAACTCAGGTGACAGGTCAAGCATTCTGCCTCCCTCATTAAGTTCTCGACACACGGCGCTGCAAGTGTCTTCAATAAGTTTTCCGCTGCATTTTAACGTCTCCATCCAGTTCTGACTGATGGAACAAAATCAAAAAATATCATAAAAAATATCATAAAGTTATTTGCCTTCCTGGAACAATTTAGAAAAATTCTGATGTGATTTTTATTATTTTCTTTAATTTAGAGGTTTACTACTTTAAGCGGTTGCTACTTTTTTTACTACTTTATGAGGTTACTACTTTTTTCTTCTTTTTTACTCCTTGTTTATGCCCACTTAAAGCTGAACATTGTTTATGGATTAATATTTCCAATAAAGCCATATGTAACAACAACTTTAAACGCCATCTATTGAAAGCTGTTTGAACTGAAAACAAAAATTTATGCCGACAAAGTTTTTATCTTATCATGTGAATTTGGTGCAGAATTTGTTGTTCTGGTTCTGTTATAAATTTTTAAAATCTCTTAGTCTAATTTAGCTGGGGGGAAAGCAGTTATATAATTTGTATCACTGAAACAAATAATAGCTTCGGGAGATTTATTATCCAAAAATACTTGAATTTTAATCAAATGTAAAATTTTAATAAATTCCAACTATAGAGACCAGCTACAAAAGCTGGTCGAATTCTTACTTTGCTATCGTGCTACAGTCAAAAATTGGAGTTATTCAACCAATAAATTTCAGTCCAATTTTCAAAAAGTTATTCTTGCTATTCCTTTGACGTGATAAAAAGGAAATCGAAAGCAAGCAAAATCTAAGTAAACCAAGATATTCGTCTTTTCTCTTGGGAATCTGAAACGATTTGTTTTATATTCAATATGTCTGCAAAGACTAAGAAAAGAAAGATTCTTTTTCGATATTGAAAGAAATCCTGAATAATTTAGTTTGCTATCATTCTCAATTGTTTTAAAGTTAACTAAAAAAAAGAACATCGTTTGATTAAAAGTTTCGGCAACAGGAAAAAGAGCTTTTGATTTCCTAAATTGAAAAACTACATTTTGTTAGGTTTTGGTGAAAGTTTTATTTTTTTTTTTTTTTGATTGTATGCTTTTTTCGTTGTAATAGAGAGGAGAAAAATATTTTACTTAACGAGAAAAAGTAGCTTTAAAATCAAATTTATGTCAACTGTTTTAATTGAGAACACCTCTGAGTATTTGTTAAAACATTTTTTTTTCCTGTAATAGACAATGCCTGTTTTCGAAAATATTTTTCTAAAATTATATCTAAAAATATTTTTTAATTAATATCTGTTTAAAACGGGACAATAATTAAAACTTATATACTTAATTATTTAATAACTTCCAAATTGCATAGATTTTTTNGTAATAGACAATGCCTGTTTTCGAAAATATTTTTCTAAAATTATATCTAAAAATATTTTTTAATTAATATCTGTTTAAAACGGGACAATAATTAAAACTTATATACTTAATTATTTAATTGCTTCCAAATTGCATAGATTTTTTTACTGCTCTTTAAACATGCACAGTTAGAATTTTCATCCCAAAATTATGGTAAAATAACAGGCAGTCCATCCAAGCAGTTAATCCATCCATTTAACCATAAAGATTAAGGTAAAGATAATTTTTTACCTTTACAGTTTTAAAACCGTCTGTAACTAGTACCGTCAAGTTTAAGGTAAAGAACATTTTTACCTTTACAGTTTTGAAACCGCTTATATCTAGTACATCAAAGTTTAAGGTAAAGAACATTTTTTACCTTTACGGTTTTGAAACCGTTTATAACTAGTACCGTAAAGTTTTAGGTAAAGAGCATCTTTTACCTTTACGGTTTTGAAACCGTTTATAACTAGCACCGTAAAGTTTTAGGTAAAGAACCTTTTTTACCTTTACGGTTTTGAAACCGTTTATAACTAGTACCGTAAAGTTTAAGGTAAAGAAAAGTTTTTACCCTTACGGTCTTGAAACCGTTTATAACTAGTACCGTAAACCTGAAACCGTAAAGTTTAAGGTAAAGAACATTTTTTACCTTTACGGTTTTGGAACCGTTTATAACTAGTATGATTATAAAACCATGAATACAAAGCGATACGGTTTTTAACCATTTAAAACTAGCATGGTTTCAAATCGGTAAAAAAAAAATTTTTAACTGGACATAAGAGTTAAGTTTTTTGTTAGATAATGGGCATTGGGGGAATCAGAAAACAAATTGGAGAGTGCAGGACTCTGAAAACTCTTCATGTGTTGAAGGGAATGTAAGAAATACTGCGTGGTGTCAACGCTGGGACTCTAACCTGAGTTCTGTCGATCATAAGACTGACAGGTTAGCCCTCTTGGCTAGAATACGTACGCAGTTGCAAGGAACTAAGCTGCTCAATTAGGTAGGCTTAGTAAAATTCTGGTTGTTCAGCCGTATTAGGTGAAAGCAGTTAATAAACAGTTTTTCTCACAGTTAACAACTTGAGTATCGTTTTATTTATGGTTATTTGACAGCTTTGTTTGAATATGGTAAAATAACAATTAAATATATTGTTATTTAACCAACTTTTTCGTGAAATTTCTAACAGTGTATTGTATGCGTCTCGTTTTAAAGCCAAGAGAAGAATCCGTCCTTCCAAATGTAATTTTAGAAGACCTTTTAAAAATTTATAGTAACAATGGTACTATAAGCTTTTACATTTATTACATAGCAACAACGGTACTATACAATAAATGTGAGGAATTAATGATTTAGTCATTCATCTGCAGTACATATGAATGGCTAGACAAAATATAAAGAAAAGCCACATTTTTCAGATTGTTCCGGAAAACGTTTTGATTAAAATTACCACGATTTCCAGTTTGCCAATAACTGTATAGTATTCTTCCAATTAGTAGAAATTCTGGAAGCTTTTAAAATACTTACACGTTAAAAATTCTTTACAGAGAAAAAGATTCTTCTAGAATCATCGTGCTATATGGTAATGAAGTTTTTGGTAAAAAAATATATTTTTTTGGTAATAAAAACAAAAATATACGGTATTTAAACAATTCATTTGTTAATTCATATGGTAACAGTTTACCGAAAATTCTGGTTTTCAAAATTATAGTTCTTGTTTCAAAAAAATACAAAATTGAAATGTAAATTTATTTGAATGAATGGTTTTTATGCCATGCCCTAAGGTATTCTGATAAAACTACCAAATTTTACCACAATTACCAAATTTTAATCACACATTATCAAATCATATTTATTTGCTAATTTTACCAAAATCATTACCAAAGGGATACTATAAAAATTACCCAGCTTCTTAGTATCATATAGAGCCAGAAACACGGTAAATTTTGCCTTATTCTGATAGCTTTGGCCGTACTTTTTTCTCTGTGTAAAGGAAAAAGACTCCAGTTTTAGAAAAAAATGTGGTTTGTCACTTTTGTGGCCTGCGCTCTTCATATCTATGCAAAAACAAAGCTTGGTGCATTTAGAAATAATTGCTACCTTCAGATTTTTTATTGTTAGATTTGTCTAGTTGTTCCAGTTTACTCACAATAGCGTTTCCATATAAACAAACGAATACTTTACGAACCGGGATTGACAGATATTGAGATTCTCCCATACGACATCGTTCCATTTATCTCGCAATAGCGTTTCCACATTAGCTCTGACGCGAATAAACGAACGACTTCACGAACTGTGACGGACAAATATCGAGCTTCGCTCATCTGAGAAAGGCAGTCATCGAATTAATTTCTACTACACACAATCTATTTGATTAAACATATCTGTTAGCCACAAGTTTAAATTAATATGATTTTGTGTAAGGTGTTCGACAATTTTGAAATAATAACGTAAAACATTAGTGTTAATTAAATTATAAACTGTTAACTATTTTATTATAGGGTATCGATGATTACTCATTCGATGTGTTTAGTTTAAACGAAAAAGCGCATGGACAAGGTCTGAGATACTTGGCTTATGATCTTCTTAATCGTTATGGACTTACTCACAAGTTTAAGGTAAGAATTACAACATTATCTGTTTATTATTAATGCAGTGAAACCTCCTGGAAAGACCACCTTTATGTAGCAACCACCTCTATGTAGCGACCACGTTTATATAGCGACCACCTCTATGTAGCGACCACCTCTATGTAGTGACCACCTCTATGTAGCGACCACCTCTATGTAGCGACCACGTTTATATAGCGACCACCTCTATGTAGCGACCACCTCTATGCAGCGACCATGTTTATATAGCGACCATCTCTATGTAGCGACTACCTCTCCTTGCGACGTATTTTAGGAGGCACGGAATTTTTTCAATGGGCTTTGTCTTGAAGAAAACCTTTTGGTGAGAACAATAAAACCTCTCCCAACGACCGGGCAGAAATGAGGAACCAAATGCGGAAATGGTCAAATAAGGAAACACGAAAAAATATCAAAACAAAAAATTAAACAAAACCAATTAGTAGATTTAAATGCATTCAAAATATTTGAGTGAGGCTCTTATTTAGAGAGCTCTTTTTTACGATGCAACCTCATATCATCAATGGTTTACTTTCATAATTGAAAGTTAAGTTAGAAAGTTATTTTAGAAAAAACAAGCATCTCAAACAAACAATTCATTTCTCATCTTTTGAAGTAACTAATTTTTATGATATGAAATTAAATGCAAACTTTAACAAAAATCATAATTGTTTATTTATTTAAAATAGCTTTATCCCTCATGATTAGTAAATATGTTTTTACACGTAATTAAATCAGTAGGAAGTATTTTTATATACACTAAATTTTATTCACAGATCCGTCTTTTCATGACGCCAACAGTAGCATTTCCGCACCAAGAAAATTATACTGACTAAAATTGAAATCGTTTTTGTAAAATCATGTACTTTCGATAACAATTTTGAAGTCAATGGAGGTAACTTCTAAGAACTACCAACCTCCATCAAGGACCATTTTACTGTGGAACGGAGAATAGTCCCTCCCGAGAGGTTTTACTGTCCCTCCCGAGAGGGTTTACGAATAAACCATAGAAAACTAATATATATGATAATTGGGGATTTTATTTGTTTGTTTTTTCCTTACTAAAAGTAAGTTGCAATCTAAATAGTTACTTTGTAGCTTTTAAAAGTAACTTTAAAAAACTTCAATCTATTGATGTTGAAACTCCTAAACTGTAAGAGGGCATATTTTTAATTGTAATTCAAAAAAGAATGACTTAAGTATTTAGTTATGCGTTTTCCCATCAATTAAAAAATAAAGAAATCACAACGTTAATTAATATAGTATATGCTTAATTTGCATACAATTTTTAATTTTCAAAATCATGCCGATCGGAATGTGTTGTAGTCAGGGAACTGACGTCACATCAGGAAGGTCCTGAGTTCGATTGCCAGACAAGGCATGGGTGTTCTTTTATTCTCTGTACTATCTGTCCTTTATGTGGGAACAGCGTTGGCCTACTAAGGCATCTGACTAAAGCAAAAAAATCATTCTGGGCAAAATTTTCGAATTAAAGTTTATTATAAGTTTAGAATCTCTGTACTCTTAGAATTCTAAAATTATTTTAGTTTTGTTTTTATTTCAATTATGTACAAAGTTGCATCAGTTTTTGAGCAAGATGAAAACAGTGGATAGACAAATGAGGTTAAGACCGTAAATACGTTTATCTCAATTTCAAATTTTTTCACACTTTACACCACCTTAAACATAATTTCTCATGTTGCTTTAAAAGTAATTATTTACAACTTTTCAGGAGTGCTTATGATAATAGCACACATGATTTAAACAACAGACTAAAAATAAAAAATTGAATTTCAATTTTTATGCATGTTTCTCTCGGAGACAATTTTTAAAAACTTGCTTCTTTCACTGCATTGATACCTAACTCAGTAGTATATGCACTTGATTTTAGGATAATAGTTTAAAACATATTTAGTAGCCTTCTAAATAAAATACTCAAAGTATTTCCCGTTTTAGGCTCTCGAAATGTTTTTACAATGTTCAGCGTATATGCAAAAAATGCCTTATTTTTTTATCTAAACATGGCCACATAAAAAGAAAATAATGATTTTTTTTTTGCTAGTTTTTAGTTTTTATTCATAATAAAGCAATTAAACTAGTTTTTTTTTAATTTTAAACTAATATTTCACAAAACAGTTGTCGAAAATAGAGGAATACCTTAATATGGTGCCTTTGAAAGAGTGACCAACAAAACTGCCTTACTGATACCTGAATGACGAGTGTTAATCAGTTCCAAATCATGTCAATCGATTCCAAATCAAAATTCCAAAATTATGTCTAGAACAATAATCAATTGAATTAAAACTATTTATTTTACGATTTTATTTGTTTTCTTTCTTACTAAAGGAAAGCTACAAGCTAATTAGTTACTTTATAACTTCTAGAAAATAAACTTTAAACAATTTAAATAGATGTAAGTTGAAACTCCTAAACTATGAGAGAATATATTTTTAATTGTAATTTTTTTTAAAAAAATAACTGAGATTTTTAGCTGACCATCAATGGATAATAATAATGATAATTTTTTTTCTAGTTTTATGATTTTTACTCATAATAAAACAAATAAACTAGTTTTTTTATTAATTTTATACTAATATTTCACAAAACAGTCGTCGAAAATAGACGAATACCTTAATATGGTGCCTTTGGAAGAGTGGCCAACAAATCTGCCTTACTGATACCTGAATGACGAGTGTTAATCGATTCCAAATTAAGTCAATCGATTTCAAATCAAAATTCCAAAATTATGTCCATAGCAATAATCAACAGAATTAAAAACTATTTATTTTACGATTTTATTTGTTTTCTTTCTTACTAAAAGAAAGCTACAAGCTAATTAGTTACTTTATAACTTCTAAAAAGTAAACTTTTAAACAATTTAAATAAATGTAAGTTGAAACTCCTAAACTATGAGAAAATATACTTTTAATTATAATTTTTTTTTTTAAATGACTAAATTTTTAGCTATGCGTTTCCCTATCAATAAAAAAATAAAAAAAACACAACGTTAATTAATTGATTTGCTTAATTTGTATGCAATGTTTAGTTTTAAAAATCAAATCTACTGTTTTGAAAATGAAAGTAAGTAATAAAATTATCATTGAAAATTCTATGTTGATGCAGAAACGATGTTAAGGCAAATTGCAAAATCAATGGTGATCTGAGGGCCACCAACTCTTAAAGAAGTAACGTAACATCAAAAGGAGTCTGAATATTTACTTTGTAACTTATTAACTTTCAAAAAAACTTAAGAAATAAACGTTAAAATTTCTAATCTACGATAGGAATTGTTAACTTATTATCACTTTATTGAACAAAAGTTCCTCAATTTTCTTTGGATAAGAAAAGTATTTTTCCATGTTTTAAACTGGTCCATATGTCTGGCAAGGGACAAATACAACACCAACTCAACATGTTAATCCAAAAATTAATGAATTCACGACGAAAGCTCTAAATATATAAATTAACTCAACATAAACTGAAATAAATTTGAGTTTAGCTGATATGCACGGCAACAAAACTGAAACTACATGAAAGAAAGAAATAGCTTTGACAACTTTCATTTCAAGCAATCCCTTAGATAATAAAAAAGTTTGTTAACTTTCATTTAACAAAAAGCGTAGATTGCCTATATTTTTAGAGAAAATTCCGAACCTAAACAGCTACATGAAGCTTACTTTAGTACGGTAAATTTACGTTCCTCTTTATATGGACAATTATTGTGAATGTCAAAAATCAGCCTAACAACAATCTTCTTCATGTAGTACAATAACTTTTTTTAATGTAATTTATTTTATTTCATTTCCATATACCTTTCAACTCCAGAACCTACACTGTAAAAATCCGAATCAAATTGCAGTAAAAAGCACTCAGGATGACTGTACTTTTAGTAGTTGTTGTCGGCCATTAAGGCAGATAGAGTGCGATTGTTCTTGTTTTATAGTGGCGCCATCTATCGCCCAGAATCGACTTCTGTCACACTGATACGTCACACCGGTTGATAGGGCGGACCCATACATCCATACACCCACATATCGTAATTTTGACCTGAACCAGAGAATACTCAATCTCCAATTCAGTACCCTCAGAGGTATTGATTTGTTAAGGAAACATGGAGGACTTTGTGACCCGACAGATTTAACGTGTACCAGTCACCATTTACTACACGAGAAGTCTTCGGCCGGCTGGATACGTAGTCCCGTTCTTTGAAACGCGTATCCAGCGCTCTGCCAACCAGGCTTCCCGGCCAACTTTTTTTAGTAAAATTACCGGAGCATGTTACGAAGCAGATAATCTGGTAAACCGTAATTTTTACAGTAATACTCGTCATAAAATACTCGCCATTGATCTAGTTAAATAAATATTACCGTAAAAATTTCGGAACAGTATTTCTCGGTAAAAATGGATTTTACAAATTATGCACCCCAAGTGCTGGTACTTTGTACAGTAATTTGAATCAAAACTTTTTACAGTGTATCATATTGCAGCTTATAATAAAAATGATAATTACTCTATATTAATGAAAAATATTTTAACTGCTTAACTATTAGGATTTGATTTCATTTGGAAAATATTATAACAGTTCAAATAAATATTTTAATTAATTTTTAATAAATTAATGCTTACAGAGAAATTATGGTTAATAAAATTCCTATTATTAGAAAGAAATCAATTACAGGAAGAATAAAAATGGCTTTCAAAGAAATAATTCAACTCGTAATAAATAAATATTAGTATTAATCTATTGCATGTCGGAATTTCTATTAAGCAGTACTCAAAATGTTATTATTAAAAGTAAATATTTCTTTTTCAAGAAAAGATACTTGTATGAAAATCTACAAATCTGGATATATATTTCACTATCAACTAATATGACTGCATATTTGAAATATTTCCAAAGACAATAATGCCTTTATGTTAGTAATTTTTTACGTTATTCATTCTTAAGAGTTCTAGTATATCCAAAACTTTATTATTTTACAAGTTGACGG